CCCCAAAACCCCAAAACCCCAAAACCCCAAAACCCCTTATAAATTTATTATGGCTGAACATGGATTTAGATTTAGTAGTTCAATCACTGTGATAACTTGGGTAAGTAGGCATACTTTGCTTGAAAAACACCTTCAAAGCACTACTTAATAGCCCAGTTTTTGAGGAACAGCAACTTTGAGCTTCCATAATGGTGTTATAATTGGGCATTTTCATAGAGAAGTGCAGTAATGAGCCTTCAAGTCTCCTTTCTCGCCAACTTAGATTGCAAATCTTACTGTTGACCTTTGCCAACATAGAAATGTGTCTCGTAAACTGATTTTTGCTTTTCTTTATTTGCAGCTGAGCTTATTCATTTCAAAAATATTCTGAAGAAAATTTGATCAAAATTATTTTTTAATTAGAAAGCTTATATGAACAAAGTAATGGAAACCTAATTCCGAATGTATAATAGAGAAATTATACTTGACTGTCAACTGTATTTAACAGTTCTAAAAGGCCTGTTAGAGTACCCAAAATTGTTCTGAGAAGGCAATGGTGAATGAGACAACCGATTTAGTGTAAATCTGCTAAAAAGTTAGCATGAATACCCGATTCTTTCCCTTCAGTGTAATTATGGGCCTATCCTCTCGAGATTTCTCCTCACAGGGTTGGTGAAAATCAGCTAAAACTTCTACTAAAATTTCCCAGGAGTGTTTTCTAAACTCATTATGCCAAATGCGTATCCAATTTTTTAGGAAATTTTACCAAATATGAGTACTTATAAATTTTTCAATAATACACAGTGAGGTTTAAGAAGTAACCAAGAAATTTAACTGTGCAAGCACTCACGACCATTATATTTCCAAGGGTGTATGATAAGACTCATGGAGTAGGAAAGCGGGCGAGGATGAGTGTATTTTAGTGTCAACACGTCATTTCGTCCAAAAATTCATACTTTGACACATTCTTTGTATATTTGCAACTCATCGTTCCAAAATCTGCCCGGTTTGGCATACAATTGAAAGAAATAGAAATCTTTTTGAGTAAAATAGTACCCAATGGTTTAGGATAAATAGTACCAATCTTTAATTACTCTTTTCCTGGATGTGTTCCAAGATCCGAGTTGACACGGCTGACTCTCGGACACTTATGGACGTACAAGATTTTCAGCCAACCGGAATAAAGGTCACGAAAAGAATGTGAGAATAGAGTTTTAATAGCACTTCTAAAATGTTGAATAAAAAGAAAATTGTCTAAATTTTTCAGTTGATAGATCCTAGTGGCTAGCTACTGTGGACAGGACTTAGTTGGTAGGCTTATCAACAACCATGATAAATTGACAGAGCTTTGACACTCTAGGCTACCTCAAATCTTAAATAAACCTGACAAAAACTTCGAATCGGAATTTTAATAAAACGATTATAAATCGGGGTTTAAATCGGTCCAGAGTGAGCGATCTCGTCGATCTTCTGGAAATCTTTCAGGTGAGCCTCTTTAAAGACTTGGAACTCTACAATGTCACTTTTCTTTCTCTCGAGGATTTGGTTCCAAAAAGATTCTTCCCAAGCCTGGGAAGTGTAGTAAAGAAGCTTTCCTATCTGCACCAGAGGGGAGTTGAGCATCTGCTTTCTCACTGATGAGTTGGAACAGCGTGCTCTTTGAGTTTTGAAACTCTCCCCATACTTGATAATAGTGGCTTTTTCTTCGTCTGTGAAGAAATTACAGCAACGAATTTTTTCGATAAATTTCCAACTTAGGCACACCACGCTGATGTCACCTAGAAGCCGGAATCGGGATTCCTGGTAAAGTTGTGGAAAAAGGTACTTTAGTTTATCGTCCCAAGCTTTGAACATGAGGTCTTCTGAACCTCTGGTGTCCACTAGGTCTTTGAAATAATCTTTTGTGAGGCCACTAAGACCTCTGATCACTTTCTTCTGTCGCATATCCACCCTCTTCCAAAAGTTTGAGATCTTGCTTTTAGAGGCTTTAGCCTCGGCGGGCTTATTGCCCGCCTTCTGCACAGATCCCTTATCTGAATCAACAGAGAAGTGGTCATCGGAGTTCTTGAAAGAATTTTCCTTCATCTCTTCCTTTGAAAACAAGTTTGAGCTACCTCCAGCCTTCGTTGATCTAAGGGAGAGAATTTTCAGATCGGTGTCTAAGGATCAATCTTTCTCAAAATTGTAGAGCCTTGGCTCTACAAAGAGGTTTGATTGCTCAATATCAGCATCCTTGAACTCTTGCTCAACCCATTCATGGGATAGATTGGGAATGTCCCCACTATCTATCCCAGAGCATTCGTGGTAGAGGTTGGAAATCTCCTCAACTGATTCAGCATTCAAATTGGATAAATTAGAAGAAGCTCTGAACTCGTTGGTGTTTTCCAAACTGTGACTAAAGATTTCGCCAGGTTTCTCTGCCTGATTATTCTCATAAGCTACAAAATAAGGGTTAACGATTAGTGTTTGGCAACAAGAATTTAACTTTGCATGAACTGTGAAGGTTTGATGAAATCGATAAATTTCAAAAATTTTAAGTTTTGAAACTTGATAGTATTAGTCACTAAAACTACCATAACTCTGCTTCAGAATCGGTATCCATGCTGAAGCGCAATAGGGAGGAGACACTTACCGAAAAAATCGCTGCAGTCCATATCATCCGCAATATAGGGACCTCTTATGTTAAGGTTGAACACTTTTGCACTGGTCTCACTAAGGGATTCATGTCTGTTCTCCATGTCTAAATCGAGGATTTTCTAATAATTTATATAAGCCAACCCAAATTTTGCTTATAGGGGTTTTGGGGTTTTGGGGTTTTGGGG